ATAGTTGAGGAACTTCTAGATGAAAAATAAATATTGTTATTTAAAAAAATTTTACATATTGAAACTCAGTGAAATGAATAATTTGGATTATTTAAGTTTTACTAGGAGAGAATAGCATCACGTATTATTCTTGTATTTGAAGTTTATTTTTTATCTTAATGCTAATTTTTTATAATCGCTTATTTAGCTTTAACAATATTTGAACTTTTGCAGCATAATTATTAATTTCCTAAAATTAAACGGTTCTCAATCCATTAACGAAGTTATGTAAATTTTAGTCTATAAGATGTACAAAGTTATTACATATTCTGCTGATAACTATAAATATTGTGAAAATTACATGGAGCTATGTATATTGACAATAGAAAATTATATAATGTACAATGTGAATATTTATTAAATTATTTACCTCCTAATTTAAAACATACAGTTGAGTAATATGTATAGTTAAGATATGAATAGATACATTTATAGTTTTACTTTTTCAAATTGTTATATGCGAATATTGTATATTTTATTTTAAGTTTTAGTATTTGATTCAAATAATAACACATAAGCTGTATTATCTAGGCAAACTAAATTGTACATAAATATTTACATTTTCATAATCATATATCCCTTTTAGTTTAATATACTTTCTCATAAAAAAATTTATTGAAATATTGAAGTACTCCACACCCAGAAAAGTTAAGTCTTCGTGCCTGACTCCGGATCAAGTAGCGTCGTTATATTGGTAAGCGAAATTTGCGTTAATAAAACGCGTATTTCATATTTGTTCTTATCGAAAATATATTGCGCGAATAATTGGCAAAGCGATGATATTAAAAGTGTTGCGGATATCTATACCTTGAAATGCGCGAGCTTGTTCTGAACAATTCAAAAATGTTTTGAGACCGAAAAATTGTCAATAAATTCGGGGAATATTTCAAAATTCTGATTAAAATTAGAAGTTTGGTATTTTCCCTTTTCTATGTGAAAAAGTATACTACATGAAAAGTATTCTACATGAATAATCAAAGAAAGGGATATATGATTATGAAAATGTAAATATTTATGTACTTTATATTATGTAATTTAAGTTTGCCTAACTGCAGATCATACAGCTTACGTGTTATTATTTGAATCGAACACTAAAACTTAAAATAAAACATACAATATTCGCATATAACAATTTGAAAAAGTAAAACTGTAAATGTATCTATTGTAAATATTATAAGATATATATATTATATATACATATATATATACACACACACACACAATTCTTTTACCTAATCTTTGAATACTTGGTAAAACTTAGTAGAGAATATTCGATGTTAATATTTGGCAGCTTTATAAAATCATTTCCAGTGATTACTTAACACTACAGATAAATTGTAATAAATTTATGTATAATGAACGGAAAAGGTATGTATACACATATATTTGAAAACATATAAAATTTATTATCAAGTATGAATATTTAATTTTTTAATTCACTTTAATTTGACGTTACTTTGGAAATTAAATATATATAAGTATTATAAACTTTTTGATACTTACGTATATAATTAATATGTACATAAATTATATGTATCGTGATTTTTGTTTCATCACGCAATAAATAATGTGTTGTGTAATTATTACAAGACATTAATTATCAATTTAGTAAAAATTTTTCGGATTAACATATATTTTATTGACATTACTTTCTAAATTAATGCACTGTGGCAGTAGACACTGGTTCATCATTAGATTGGTATTTCCAACGCCACCATGCTACTTTCATCCGATCCCAGATATTATCCCATGAATCCATTGCGGGTCTCACATCGAGTAACGCAAACGTATACTTCTCGTTAACTTTTCCACCATCGTAATAGTCGATAATGTATCTTACGTCTTTTCCACAACGATCTATGATCCAATCATGTCGATCAAATGGTAGTTCATATCTGAAAGTATGATATATAGTATTGACCTTGTATGATATATAGTATTTAATATAGTATTGACCCTGTAGCGACTTAACTTTGCTGGCTTGTTTGGTCTATATGACTCAAAATGTAATTTTTTTTTCTAACATTTTATTAAAAAAAATTTCTCTAGTATTTGATGACTTCATATGTCAATATATCTTTTTTTTGTGAAAATTTTCTATTTTTTAGAACTTTTTAATCATATCGATAAATGATATGATCTCACACACACACACACACACACACATCCATACATAAATATGTATACTTGAATAGATCAGCAGGTTAAAATTTTTAGAATCGAGATTATAAAGATTAATGTACCCCATCCAATAGCGAATACGCGCACGTGGAGAATATTTGGATGCTTTCCCTCCAAAACTACGCAACTTGGGATTGCCACACTCTCGCGCGTGAAGGGCTTCCCATTTAAGAACCTCTTGCCATGCCTGTTCGTTATTAGCATTATGAATTTTTATTATGTCGTCCATATCTTTCTGGGAGATATCATCAGCTTTCCATCGCCATCCTTTTCTCAACATTGCATTCCAGAACATTTGTTGAGAGGGATATACCCAAAATTCTCCTTCCTCCCCAGTTGCTTTAGGTATCGACGAAATCTGCCTACTGGTTGGCAAAGAAAATGGTTGGTCTGGAGCAGGTTGCTGATTTGCCGGTGGCATCTGTAATAATATTTATTTATATATGAATAAAATAGCGAATTTGATCATTTGTACATTAGATTAATGCATATTAAAAGATTCTGTATATAAAATCAACAAAGTTAAATATAAAAGCATATAAATATTTTATACAATCAAATACTTTAT